CCCCCTGACAGCCTCCCCTCTCATCACCTGGCATGTGCCATCTTAGTCATCCCAGCTCTCCCACCTGCCCCACCCCAACTCTGAAATATCCTTTCCCTCTCCTTCTTTTCTCTTCCTCTTTCCTTTTCTCTCTTGTCACTACCCCCTTCACAGTCTCCCGTCTTATCACCATCTTAGCGGCTCCAATCATCCCAGCTCTCCCACCTGCGCCGGCCCTCCTTTTTTGTCCTCTGATTCCTCTTTGATTTGAACCTGCTATGTCTCCCACATGCCATCAATGGGCTCGGTGTGTCATGCCTATATACATCATGATTCATATCGCAAATTCAATGCATATATGATGGCACACACAAAAAAACACATCTGAGTGTATATGATGGCTCCTCACAATGTGCCATCTATACGGTCAGAAGCCCTTTCATATGCCGCTCCGCAGGAAAAAGTAGCATATGGAGCACTTTTACTTGTGCCATCTTTTGGTAGGGGGGTATAAGCCTGTGTTTGAGTACTGCGGAAGACCTAGGGTTAGGTTGGTCCATCAACCCGAATTCATGGGGTTTGGGTGCGTAGGGCATGTAGTATAGCAAGACCTTTAACAAAAGAACAGGTCAAATGAATCGAGAGTATATATATATATATGGGCATGCGGCATGGGTGGGGTGTTCGTCTTGACCTCTCTTTCGCCGAGGGCGCTTCGGCTGCAAAGGTACTTCCTGAATGCGCCGTAGCAAGGGCTCATGCATGATCTGGTCGTAGCAGTGGCGCAAGTCAGCCACGGCCACAAAGAGCTCTGGCGCGGCCCCGTCCTTCCTCGCGGGCCGAATGACTGAGTACCGGAGAACGAGACAAAGAACATGGGAGCGTTCCAGGAGAAAGTAGTTGTTCGTGGTGGGTTCTGCACCAAACGGAAAGTAGCGAAGACTTCTCTTCGAAAGTGCCCTCAAAAGGACACAATTTTGGCTTGAAAAGCCTTCAAGATGGGGCCCCTCGACCCCCCCCCAAACAAATCCATTCTGATGCATTTCCCTTCGACCAGAAGCTCCACTTGGCCGAAGAACCCATCGAGTCACTGCGCACAAAACCGGGGTTCGAAACCGACAGGCTCACGAGGCGGATGGCTTCGAGTTTCGTTCTTCTTGGGCAAAGTAGAGTTTTCTGCAGGTGCTATTTAGCTTGGTGCGCAGCGAATCGACGGGAGAGATGTCATGATGTCCTGTTCAGATCACCTACCAGCACCCGACTCTACAGACTGACACAGTGGTAGGTGGTGACCTGTGAAGTCGGGTGCCTGGATGGTGCCTGATCACCTGAACTCTTTGAGGACTGCGCTCGCTAGCTGGTTGCCTCTCAAGAACTCCTGCTATGGATGCGCCGACTCCTGCTGGCGGCTTATAAAGGCCTCAGCTCCCTCGCGTGGAGGTCCGAGGTCTCTTCCCAATTACGCTAAGGCCACGTTCGCCTTTTGAAGTCCCTCCACGCCATGTCACCCGGCCATGCCCGGTACGTGTCCGGTCGCGAGTCGCGGTACGTGTTCGGTCTACGTGCCGAGTCGGAAGCGATCCGGTCCGCCCCACACCTCACCCCCCGATTCCGCCACCTTTTTCAGACACTGACAGAGTCCGATCCGTCGTTTTTTTCAGTGAAAACGCAAGAATGTCCACACACACACACACCGATAAACACCTCCTCCTGAAGTTGCCATGTGTCCCAGTCCTTCTTGCCACCGAAAACGACCTCTTCTGTACCAACACGTGGCGTGACGTGGCTCCAAGCGTCCAGGTGGTCTTCAAGGCCACCAATGCATCCAACAACTTTCGGTAGACCTCCTGAGCGGTTGGATTGACCGGACGAAGAAGAAATGCGGGCCTCTCGGCCCTGCCGGCCATGCCCACCAACCAACCAACCACCAATTCCAGCTTGGCCGGTGAGGCCTCTCCGCCCACCAACACCTGGACTTCATCCACGGGAAGTTAAAACCGAGTGGACAAGCTTCGTGCTGCCCCAAGATCGAGTGCCCTAAGACGTCGACTGCCGAGCTCCTCAAGCTGGCCAAGACAGACAACCTGGGGCCGCAAATCGGCTGGTGGCAAATCGGCTGGATGATTGGGAGCTTGTGAGCTCGTGATCGGTTTTTCGGGATGTTTAGGCCTATAGATGCATGGGTTTAGGGTTGATCATTGGGAGACTCCTCCCAAAGCAACACACCCCTTGATTTTCGCGGCCATTCTCGGGGTGGACTCGCATCCAGCCCTTGGGCTTCTCCGACACCACTTCCATCCAAGGAGTGGTCCCAAAAGTGCCACCCTTTCAAGAAGGGATCGCTCCTTGTTTTGCCAAAAAGAACAACTCCAGCCGTTTCCTGTCTTGGGCGCTAACAAACGTGTTCGCTAACAAAACGTATTCGCATTGAACACGCACATGAATCATCCTCCATTTTCAATCCTTCTCCAGTGGTTCCGGAGTGCGATTGCTTGCTAGTGGGCTTTTGAGTTGCTCAGGTAGGTAGTACCTACCCGCACGAGAAGTGTGACTTGCGACAGGAATGGATACACCCCACCTAGGTCGGACTTGACACCCACCCCTGATACTCCTCACAAACACCCCAAGCAGTCGACAGCTGAGATAGCTATTTCTTCACCTGTCCCTCTTTCCTCCGCATGCCATTGTCACCCATCGTCAGTGTTCCCCTTCCTCTCCTTCCTCTCCTTCCTCTCCTTCAATCCTTTCCTCCGCCCACCAGTGCCGCCTCCCCAGACACCACCCCGAACCACCAAACCAGACCTTCTGGCTCCGTTTTCGTTCCAGGTCACACCGACTTCTGCTTGGGACACCTCCGCGCCTCGCTCTTCGCCAGGCCCGACAGCAGCGGCCGAAAGCCCCGCCGCTTGGGCACCCAGCGCACGCGCGGAGTCGCGCGCGACGACGCAGCGGCGCGCAGGCGTCGGAGGCCCGGTGGGACGGGCCGGTCTCGGTGGTTGGAGCGGCAGCAGGAGGATCCACATGAAGGGAGCATATGGAATCTTAAGTGGAGTCCCCCGACTAGAATAAGTGAAGCATTTTTTGACGAAAACCTATCTGCATGGATCATATCGGGAGTCGTCTATAGTTACGGGTCTTGCTTCAGGTGTCAGGTCTTGCTGGCGGGCGTCGCTGTGCGACTGAACGCGCCGTTGTGAAGACACAACGTCTCCTCCACAGCGAGGAGACGCAAGGACAAAAGGAGCAACTCATTCCAAAAAGGACAAAAGGGCCAGGCTCTTAGACAAAAAATCTACGACGATTGGATGTGCCGGTTCGGGCATCCCGAAAAAAGAAAAACCGCCCATTTCGACCTTCCAAGTTGGCCCAGAACCCCGAGACCTCCCAACTGCTGCTTCGAACGAGAAGTCTTGGCCCCAGCGACTCGCAAAAGAGCCCTTTCGCCCAAGCCTCGGTCATTGGAACACGGGGTTGAAAGGGTCTCCGTCTCCGTCGGTTTGGGGGTCTTTCAACCGAGCCTTGTTCCCGACTCTTTCCCCACCGCACAGTGGTCATCAACAGTATGTCATGGTGTCTCCAAAGATTGAAAGGCTTGTGGGTCGGTCATGTAGAGTGTTGATTGATCACCCCCCCACCATTGGAATTGATACATACCTCTCTCATGTTCATCTCGGGCGTTGATGAATCAAGAGTCAACCCAGTCACGATCGACCTACCAGTCACGAGGGGAACGTCGACCCCAGCGAAGCATGGAACGGAACGGTCCACCATCGGTCGGCTCCCGGGTGCACGAAAACGATGTCGTCGCACCCAGAAGACCCACCGAATTGGCATCGTTTGATCTCCAGAACATGCAAAGCCCATTTGGGGAAGGTCACCTTGGGCCATGCCCGGTATAGAAGCCATGTCTTTTGTTCTGTGAATCTCCACCTCGGCCGGCGCGTTCCTTTCTGGGTGGTGCCATGAATGAACGGGTCTCCCTATTTTCACACACACCCAGTGGAACGACAAAGGAAACGATCCTCCGAACACTACCTTCGACTGTAAGCGCTCGTTGCTAACACGAACGGAGGACACGACGGACTGAAGAAAGAGCTCAAAAAGCTTCGACATCGACCAAACACGCAGGGTCTGGCGTGCCGCCCAAGCGAACGCCGAGGGACGAGGCCGTGGAGGCCGATGTCGTCTCGTTGGGGCTCAAGCACAGATGCAAAAAGCCGCAATCCGCCCGCGAGCGCATGAAGTGCCAGACGTTCTTCCTGGAACGTCCGTTCTGCTCCGAGAACCGGCCGCGCCACCGGGAGATCCGGGCGTGGAACTCGCTTCAGCGACCAGGAAAGAACGGTCCGATCATCGGCGCGGAACGGGCCGAACCCCTTGGTTTTTCTGGATTCGTTGGGGGGGCTCCGTGGCGATGGCTCCGGCGAGCCGAAGGCCGAAAACCGTGGAAGACCCCACCGGCGAGTCGTGATCGGATCTGTTACGCACCAGAGGCGAGGCGAAGATGTGGTTGACGGCGAGGCGAGGCGAAAGCCTGGTGGCGGAAGGGGAACCCGGAAAGATCCCACCGTGGTCCTGAAGTAGATGGTTTGCATCCCACCGGGCTCTGCTTCCGTGGCGTAGAAGTGCGCCCTCAGCAAGGGCACCTGGGAGGTCTCTTTTGGAGTCTGACCGGACACACCTTCCCAACGGTGGCGTCTAAAGCGTCGACGCCTCCCAAAGGCTGGACCCGAAACCCGCCAGGGTGAACTGGACCTGGTTCGGGGCCGAACGGGTCGCCTCTGGGCTGTGGAATCTCCGTCCAACGACCGAGAAAGGCCCAGAGAGTTGGTTTGGATGCAGGTATACCTTGGGAGTCCAGTCGACTATAAAAAGAATCGTCTGACGAACGGGGACCTGAGTCAGGGAAACTTCCTTTACTTCAGCCAGTCAACATATGGTCGAACTGGACTTCTAGGGTATACATTGACCTCCTGAGCTTGGGGTGATTTCCTTGGAACACCGTTAAACTGATGAGCAGATTTCACCTCCATAAAGCTGCCTTCATTTTGCCAAGAGATGTCTACACACAAGTCTTTTTGGACCTCCAACATCACACCTTCCTCCAACCAAACATCACCAAACCAACCGGAGCCTGAAGAAAAGAATGGGGGCTGATTCTAATGACTACTCAACGTTTCGATATCCTTTGCGATGCTTGACTACTCAACCTCGTCGAAATTCCGTCGACGGGGGTCGAACAAAAGAAGTCCATAAAAGCATCATGAACCTACACCAGCACCTTCAAAGGGGTCACCTGGTTGGAAGCCCCAGCCCACCACTAAGGGACCTCCAGACAGGACACCCCTTGAAGGTCCAGGCAGGATCATGCATGGACCATAGGAATTCCCGATACCAAACAGCTCAAATGACCGGTAGACCCACCGGTAGGTCAGACCCACCGGTCGTGTCGTCTGCTTCGGCCCGTGACCCGCGGTTGATCAAGCCGTTGGGGTCGGGCGGGGCGCCGCCAAGTGGGAGAAGATGAAGTAGCAAAGCCGTCCCAACACTTCTGCCATGATCCGGTGGTCCTCAAACGAGCGGGTGGGGCGAGCAGAAGAGGAGTGGAAGAGGGCGGAAGCGAAAAAAAGCCCATGGGCCCATGACCCCCGTTGGTTTCCAGCACCTGAAATAAGGCAGTAAAAATCCCGGGTCATACCCCCAAAAACTCCATCAAACACAAAGGAATTCCTCTTCCCCCAAACACTCCACGGGCCTTTCCTTTCGCGCGCCCGTCCCACGTCGTCCCACGACACAGCGGACACTGTCCGTGCCTTCAGTTGTCCCACGCGCACCGATCGGTCCGGCCGCTCCGCCGCGCGCCGCTGCACCCATCGGCGGATCATGCCTCAAGGGACGCGAACGGCGGCACCGGTCCAAAAAACCCACGGAAAAACGACCTGGTTTTGGTCGTGTCCTTCATGAAACAGCTGGTGAGGGAAACAGCTGGCGCCAACACCAATGGTGAAGGACGGTTCAGGGTGGCGGTACCATCATCATGGTCATCACTGCAGTGTTTAGAATCGACCACCCACGAGCCCAGGACGGGGGACGCATGTAAACTGTCTCCCATACATCGTTCGCTGGCTTAGCAGCAGGTCGAAGTGAAGAAACGGGACTGAAACCCTTGGGGTGGTTGATCTAAAAGCTGTGACAGAGGTGAGACTGTAAACCTTTACAAATGCCATACCCAGACACGACCCGTTTGGGACTGCCGATTCGGACCTGCCGAGAAACGGCCAGGGGTGGTGGTGCCAGGGGGGTCAAGTGATCGTACGAACGACGAACCGCTTCAGCCGCGGACCCCGGCGTACGTTGTTTGCTCCGCCGAGCCTCGGAAAAAACTCTTAACATCTCAATTGATATGGGTGATCATCTTGCGACCCCTATTGGCATGGGTGAAGTGATATGGGCAACTGGGTGACACCAGTGTAGTGATTATTCCATTCTAACAAAGATTGATGCAAACCCACCCCCCCCAAGCAAAGAACTTGGTGGTGTCCACCGTTCCAAAAGAAAC